ATTTTACATTGTATACATGTGTTGAAATTTAACTCTATACCCCATAAATACGTATAATCAATAAGTTTCAACATTAAAAAAGTTTTTGTCTATCTTACGGACTGAATTATGTTCCCTCAATTTTGACAAGTTCAAGTCCCAACCCCAGTACCTCAGAATGTAACCTTCTTTGCAGATAAAGTTTTTAAAGAGGATATTAAGTTAAGATGCAGTCATTAGTGTGGGTTCTAATCAAGTATGACAGGTGTCTTTATAAGAAGAGGGAGAGACACCACGGATATGCATGCCAAGAGAAAAGGCCATATGAACATAACGGCAAGAAGGTGGCAATCTGCAAGCCAAGAGAAGCATCAGAAAAAAACAAGCCAGCCAGCACCTAGATCTTGAACTTCTAGCCTCCAGAATTGTGAGAAATGTTATTTAAGCCACCCAGTCTATGATATTTTGTTACAGCAGTCCTAGCCAATGAATATAATCTACTCTCACATCATTTCATAAAAGTAAGCACATTTTAAACCACAATGGTAGGAAGGACCTAATTTCTGAATGATGGATGGCCCTTTATATTGAATATATTTAGCTTTTTAAAAAACTTACTGTCTTAGTTTGTAGGGCTAATGTAACAAAATGCTATAAACTAGGTAGCTTATAAACAATAGTTCTGGAGGCTGGGAANCAGTTTGGCAATACTTATCAAACTCACTAAAATGTATAAGCTTTTGACCCAATAATTCCACTTCTAGAAATTTATCCTAAGGAGATAATAATGGATGTGCCCAAGGGTTTAACTATAAGAATCTTTATGATGATACCATTTATAAATGTTTTTTAAAAATTAAGAAACAACCTAAATCTTCAGCAAAAGAAAGCTGGCTAAAAAACTGATACAGTCACTCACAATTTTTGAATATTTACTGTCATAGGAAAATGTTCATAACATATTGCTAAGTGACAGATAACAGTTTATACATTCCTAAATCCACTATTTACATGAATATCATTTATGGAAATTTTTTTTTAAATCTAAAAAAAGGTGCACCAAAATGTAGTTATCCCCAGAAGCTGGAATAGATGTGGTTTTCATTTTTTATACCTTTTTTTTTCTGCTTATCTGTACTTACTTTTTTTTCCTTCAATAAACAAGTATGCTTTGTGTCTTTTTTATGTTTATAATATTGCTGATAAAAAAGCAGGTTACAGAATAATATATAAAATATGCTTCCGTTGACATTTGAAAATAACATTTAAATATCTACTCAGGAAAAATATACACAAGATAATTAACAATGGTTATCTCATGAAAACAGGATGTGTTTGCTCTTTTCTAAGAATTACCTGAGAAAACAAATCTAAAGAATTTCCATTTGGGAAAAAACCAAAAAGGAAATTGTTTCTGACAACCTGTAATTGAAACTCACTCACAAAATATGTACAGTATGATCTTCTTAGTTGTAGGTATACTAATATAAATGAAAATATACCAAGATATCAAGAATAGATATTTCCTTAGGTGATAAGATTATGAGTTGTACTTTCTTGCTTTTACTTGACCATATTTCTTGCATTTCTATAGTAAGTAAATGCCACTTCTGTAGTTTTAAAAAGATGTAGTTTCTGGTTTGTGTTCCTCTAGAAATAAATACGCAGACAAGAATTTGAATCAAAGTGGCTAATTTGGGAGGTGATCCCAGCAGGTAGAGGAACGGGGAAGGCAACCAAATCTAAAAAAGGTACATTATCAAATAAGTTACCACCATGAGTGACTGGAGCTTGATGCCACTGGGAAACCCTTGGAGACAATATAAAAACCCCTTGGAGTTATCCCAGGTGAGGGGTGAAGGAACTGGGCAATTTAGCCTCCGACTCCCATTTATTATAGTCTGAAGGAGGCATCCAAAGGGAATTTACTCCCTCGCACTTACTGCCTGCTCTCTAGCTGCCAAGCAGGCTCCACTGGCAGAGAAAGCCCTATGGCAAAGAGTCACAGCATTTGTGTTACAGGCCATAGGGCTGGCAATGCCTGGAACGGCAGGTGCCTAGGGTATATGGCAGCACACCAACAGCATCTGCTACATTTGAATTTTTTTTTTTTTTTACTCCAGGATGTTACACAAAACTATTTGATTCTAGAATTGTATTTACCAGAAGGCATATTTATTGCATATTTAAACAGAAAGAACGTAAAGGTGATATTGTTCTGCACACCAGTTTTCAGGGGCTGTGATCCATGTTTTACTAGTTGCAATGAAGGGTCAGAATGTGATGGGGACTGTCTGGTGGCTGCTCATCAGAGAAAAGGCATCAAAAGGCAAACTTGACAGTAAGTACCAAGCACTGCTTGAGGAAATTAACAAATATGTTGAAAAGTAATATATGAGAAGCCACTCAGGGCTTGGTAAAGCTGACATGAATAATATTTCTTAAATGCTGATGCATAAAAATTTACTAATAAAATGAAATTATAAATAATCATGCATTTTGATATATCAAACTCCATCTTTAAGGCACTCCTCAGAAGAGCCGATAACATCTTAAACAGCATTAAGAAATACAGTACTAGTAAATTCAGCCTTTGGCGGAATTTCATAACTCGTCTTCAACAACAGCTTCTCAGAACAATGATACTTCCCTCCTGTCACCCCCTGAACTTCATTCTTAACCACAATAAGAGCATACACGTCACAGTGTGAGGACATCAAAACTGGCATCACAATCTGTGCTGAGTAAAGAAAACAGCATCAGTTTGGTTAAGACAACTAAAATGGAGCTGAGAGGCCACCTGAGCTTGAGCTTCAGGGCATGTCTTAGCTTGAAATTTTTGCTGAACTTTTCCACCCAGCCCCATTACCTTTGCATGCAACCAATCACAGCAGCCAAACTTCGACTGTCAACTGATCACACCATGCCCCAATAAGGCAAATGCTGAGCTATAACCAAACAGGTTGCTTCTGTATATCACTTCCCCTTCTCTGGCTATAAATATGACTTGCACGTGTGGTGGGATCAGGCATTCTGAACCATTTTTGGTTCAGACTGCTGCCTGATTGTAGAATTGCAATAAAAGCCAACTAAGATCTATAAAACTAGACTTGTCGTAATTTTGTTTTTTAACATCATGATGTATCTACACTGTGGAACAGTATTAACTGTTAAAAAGAATGAGTTCATTCTGAATATAAGTATCTAAGGAGACGTCCCATAATAATAAAAACTAACACTAAAAAAGTGTTGACCGTGTGCCTGGCACTGGTCTGAATATTTTACGTCTATTAAGTTATTTACTCCTTTAAAAAAACCTTACAAGGTACACACAATATTTTGACCATTATATGAAGAAGAAAACTCAGACACAGGTTAACTAGCTTGCCCAAGGTCACACAATTCATCAGTCGAAAACTGGAATCTGGCTCTCGGGTCTGCACTCTTAACCACTGTGTAACACAGAGGAATGTGCACAGTATAACGCCCTTTATTTTTAAAGCTCTCACAAGTATACATTTACTTATATACACTTGTATTAGCATTGAGAACAGTGTGGAAGGAAACACATGTGAGCATCGGTGTTGGTTACTTCAGGAAGCAGAAGCACAGAAGGATGAGAGACAGGGGTGGAACCTAAGTTATTGTCTGTATATGATGCTTTGAATTTTTAATAAGCCCATATTTCTTTTCTGTTGGGTTTTTTTTTTTTTCCTTTTCAATATCTGGATAACTATTTTTAAAAAGAAAGAAAGGGGGCCGGCCCGTGGCTCACTTGGGAGAGTGCGGTGCTGGTAGCACCGAGGCTGCAGGTTCAGATCCTATATAGACTGCTGAGTGTGGTGCAGACAACACCGTGCCGAGGGTTGCGATCCCCTTAC